AATCCGTGCGCACGGATTTCCGGCGGCTGTTTTTCTTTTTTCACCACTGACCCCCGGCGGGCTCCGTAGAACTATGTATTAAATCAATAATAAATTCTGTGCAGCAGGTTTTTAAACCAGCAAGTTTTTTTCCTGAGCTGAGGGAAAATCATCACACACTGGATCCACCCTCTAGCCCAGATAAATAATTTCTGATTTCTTTGGAAAAGGTTGGTTAATTTTCTGAGTGATAAATCTTGCAGGTATTTTCCTAAACTTCAGCTCATTTTTAATTATCTTTTCAGAGTTGTTTAAATAAACCCGTAGAAACTGCTGCTCAACCAGGTTTTCTCCCTTTGTTCACATTTACACAGAAGAGGCTTTCATTAAACTGAGCCAACATTCTCCCACGTGTGTCAACATTTAATAAATTCAKAAAATATTCAGCCTGCACTCTACCTGATGGTGATGATCTGCCCAAAGTCCAGCTCATAATTGTTCACTTGGGCAATGAAGATGGCCGCCACGGCCTCGTAGAGCGCGGTGCCGTCCATGTTGATGGTGGCCCCGACGGGCAGCACGAAGCGGATGATGCGTCTGTCYATGTGGTTGTTTTCCAGGAGGCACTTAAAGGTGATAGGCAGCGTGGCGGAGCTGCAGCGGGAAAACATCAGACACAAACAGACGTAGTTAAAGTTCTGAAGGATGCGATGCTGTGCAGCAGGTCCTGAGGACTCTTTTTAACAGCTGTTAAGATGAAAGCCATGAGCTGGTCTGTTTAAAGCCGAACTACTGCACAGAGTGAGAGTCTGACTCTAACAGATCAAAGAAGAGACGCTGCAGGAGCAAAACAATCTTTTAAATAAAAGGGTGAGCTTGAATTGCAGCTAAATCTAAAATATAACACTGCAGTTGTGTTGGAAACACATCGATGTGGCTGCAGTAAAACATTCAGACTTTTACTGGAGGTCATTCCTCCTCAATTCTCTAACATTCAACAATAACTATGATCACTAAGATTTCATTGTTTATTAAKACAGTTTGCTGCTGTTATTAGATTTTTCTTACCTAATAAGTTTTATACAGATGCAACAATACACTCACCGGCCACTTTATTAGGTACACCATGCTAGTAACGGGTTGGACCCCCTTTTGCCTTCAGAACTGCCTCAATTCTTCGTGGCATAGATTCAACAAGGTACTGGAAACATTCAGAGATTTTGGTCCATATTTACATGATGG